ATACTTGGGCTCCCTCCCAATTTAACATAGTATTTATTAGTAAGAATTAACTCACAGCCACTGGAGATTAATGGGGTAGATGTAAGGATACAACTAGAAAATGACAATACCAAGTGAAAAAAAGAGTGGGGGGAGTTAGTACAGAGTCAACAAGAAGATTTATCCACTGAATTCTGCCTGGCTATCTAGAATTATCTCCCACAAGATTCAGCCACTGACTGCTGTTTGGCTGTCTAGAATTATCTCCCACGGCTGCCAATCTACTGTGGGTGGATACTGACACATCCCAGTGCCAAAAGACTACTAACAAAAGCAAGAAAACTTGAGTTGTCCTCTAAATTTCCTTGCTCAAAAAGCAGAGCTTTCTATCTATCTCTGCCCCCTTAAAATCCAGTACAGAGGCCACAGTTCAAGTGATCAACCTTAAAAAATTTTTCCCTATTTCATCACCCGCTTTATCTCACAACAGTTTACAGAGAAAACAGATTTCACAATGAGAGAATAAAACAATTACAAAAAGTCAAAGACTTGAGGCTGGGCTTTGAATGATGAAACCTTTAATACTATTCAGGAAAGAAAGATCTAGTTATAAAACTTGTTATTAAAGTAAGTATGCAAATTTTTGTAGGCAACATTTTTAAATAGTATTATTTACTTAGTGAGATGTGTTTTCATGGGATTTTTTGTTTTGTTGGCAATGCCCAGGCAGCTTGCAGAATCTTAGTTCCCCAACCAAGAACTGAACCTTGACCCCTGACACTGAAAGAGCCAAGTCCTAACCACTGGACCATCAGGGAATTCTCTTTAGTATTTTATAATATCTTGACCCATATCTACTGTCTTGTTTACTATGAGTAAATTTTACAGGTCAAAAAAGAAAAAAAAAATTCATGGTACTTCTTTCCCTCACTCCCCTCCCCAAGACCTCAATCAGACCCAAAAATGAGGGCTCTGAAGTTTCTAATTATACCAAGTACAATAATATTATGTATTAAAACAAGGGATACTCGGGACTTCCCTGGTGGTCCAGTGGTTAAGCATCTGCCCTGCAATGCGGGGAAGGCGAGTTTGATACCAGTTCGGTGAACTGCGATCCCACATACCGTAGGGCAACTGAGCCCATGCACCACAAGGAAGATCCAGTGCAGCCAAAATTAAAAAATCAGAAATAAATGTCAAAAAAACAAGTGATATTTACTGTTTATATTCTTAAGGTAAAAAAGACAAATACAGAAAAAACATAAAGAGTTTGCACACTACAACTTTTTAAAATAAACATATAAATAAATCTGAATACCATTCTTTACCTGAAAATATTATAGTTCCTAAATTTAATTTTAAATATCTCAGCTTGCAAGATTTTTAAAGTACACCATACTACCTTAACGCAAGTTCTCAAGCTGTAAGTTTTTAAACTTTTATTTAAAGGGGCGTCATGCTAATAATTAAGTTTCAGTTAGAAAACAAAACTTAAACATTTTTTTGAAAAGTCACATGTATTCAGACACAGGTTAAAGAGGGCATTATTAAAAGATGGAATTCAGGGGAATTCCCTGGCGGTCCAGTGGTTAGGACTCTGTGGTTCCACTGCAGGGGACAGGTTTGATCCCTGGCCAGGGAACCAAGATCCCACATGCCAAGTGGCATGGCCAAAAAAAAAAGAAAAAAAAGATGGAACCCAGACACTAAGAGAATTTCTATATAAGGCAAAAAAATCCTAATTTCAAAGGTTAAAAAAAAATTAAGTATAAAAAAGTGACTGCTCATAAATGGGAGTAATAATAAGAGAAATGGATATAAAATAAAAAACCTGGCCCAATACCTGACACTTCCCTCCAATACTGCTTGCTGGCATCACAGCCTGTGATATTCTTTACTTCACCAGCTCACTGATGAAAGCATTCTGCCAATCTGATCTTAAACTTTGTTCCGTTACGCAAAAAGTCTTAAAAAAAAAAAAAAGAAGAAGGGGAAATAGGCCCACAAACAGTAATGACCCACTGGAATGGCAGAATGTGCTAGCAGCAGAATCACTTTATATTGAGTCACTCTGTCTCAACAGACTCCTACAATTTCTACACAGAATACACATATGTAAGTAGTTTAAAAAAAAAAGTAATTTAGCATTACCGATGGGGGTGGGGAGGGAAGCCAACATTATTTGTATTCACCTCCTTGTTATCAAATTTATCTCTGAAAATTCAAATAAATTATGGCCAAGTAATTCTTTGATCTTAGAATGTGTTACTCTGGTTTGGTTTAGGTTCTAGGGCTAGAAACATTCCCAGGGAGGCAGAAATACAGAAAGAGCATGGGCATTAGGATCACAAACACCTGATTTCAAAACCAGAGTCTACCTGGGAACTAAGCTTCAGTTTCTCACTTCTCAATAAAGGATTTTATCTCCTTCATAAGATTGTTCTGAGGATTAAATATAGGAAATATTTAGTCCAGTGCCTAAAACATAAGATTCTCAACTTTTTTTGCAGTTCCACCTGACAGATCAGACATGAGGGCAGCAATTCTCCACAACAGAGCTACGCCCCAACTCTTCAATTATATTACACTTATCATTGCTTCTTGTCCAAATGGTCACTATCTACTGCCATGTATTTCTAGCAGAACAGCTAAGCTCTGAGACTCACTGCTTTACTTTATGTTCTTCCCTCACTCAAGTCAACACCAAAACCACCAAGTTATAATAACTCTAATGACTACAGGAGAGGTAATGTGTGGGTGGTCCCCACTGCAACACAGCAACTACCTAATGCAGTTCCCGAATGCTGCTCATCATACCATGTACCCAGACCAACAGAAATGCGGGTGATAAATGCCAAGTCCAAGTTGAGTCATTGGTTTAGGCCCCCCTAGGTGTGAAACAGGTTTTGCCATTTAACATTAACACCGATTTGCTAACTGACCTGGATAAAACTGGTCAGAAAGTCAGATGTGATTCCATATGATAGGGCTCAGCCCTAGAGTCCAGAGTATGTCTTCACAGCACAGCACAACTAGAGTTTCCCACTACCCACCCCCCCAGCCAGATTTTAGATCTTGAAGCTCTGCCAAGGGCTGACCCAGAGTTTGACTTGCCCACCTAGCAAAGTACAAAACAAGCACCTTGATTCTTCTTTCAGTTTTTATCCATCAGTCCATCGTTAGGAAAGCCAACACAAGATTTTACAGATCTATAATATAAATTATAATATATACTTTAAAAACCAATGGTCATGATTTTTAAATAATGTTTAACCAAAAAGGCAAAAATTACAGGCATTCCACCTTTGCTCCCTAGACAGATACCATCCAAATTAACCACCTCCTACCTTGGTTTCACCCTACACACACAGCTACCTACAACTCAAATTCAGCACATGTTCTACGGAACTTAATCACCTTGTCCCCAAACCAGATTCCCCTCTATATTCCTTTTCCTCTATTACTCCATTTTCCCAGGGACCTAAACTTTCAAATTCAATCACCAAATTCTATGCATTTCTCAGTCTTATCCCATCTTTTCCACTGCTCACACCAGGGCTATCAGAGTACTAATCTAGTGTCAGCTCTTATCCATTCCAATCTCTTATTGCCAACTCAACCTTCCCAAAACACTACTGGATAAAAACCACTCCATACACACTAAAAACCCTGCTGCCTAGTGAATTAAACCTTAGCCTGGCACTCAAGGTCCTTATCTTTGTGACAATGTCCTTTTTCCCCCAGCTTTATTTTAAAGCCATAGGATTATGAGTTCATGCATTCAATAACTTTCTTCTGAAACTCTATCATATGCCAAATTCTAGGAACTGGGATACTGAGATGGATAAAATTTGATCTCCACCTCCAAGATTTAAGCAAACAGGAAACAAAGTACCTTAAGTAATAGATACATAATAAAAAATGTACTAAGTGCCCAAGAAGAAGCCCCTTACACCTCATTTTTTTTTCCTCATATTTCTGAGTATTGCTTACCTACACATAATAGATGTTAATGAAGTAGCACTGATACTGATGACTGTTCCACTAAACCAAAGACGTGCGAACAACATGCTCAATAATTTGTTAACTAACAAGATTCCACCTCCTCATTTCTACTATGGTAAAGAACTGTGGTACACCGGCTGTCTGGAAAGGTCAGTGGGAAGCATAACTGAGTGTGCTTGTGCCTAATTTATTTCTGAAGAACAGAAGCACGAGAACCCGTCATGAAAGACGTCAATTCTTTCTGCTAGTCAGTACTCAGATATTGGCAAAATAAAACTTTTGCAAATTCAACCTATACCCTGTTCCAAAGAATAACCAGATGAAAACATTCTAACCCTTTCATCACTATCAAGAAGTTAGGAAACAAGTGTCAGGCTAAACTCTCTTCTCAGTAAAATATGCTGTGATTCCAGCTATAGTTTTGGTTAGTAAAAGCAAGCACGTTAAAATTCACCAAACGAAACAAGCATTTACAAGAGGACAAAAATGGTTAAAACCTAAAAGCTGCAACCACTCCTTTCTAACACAAAACATTAGATATAATCAGTTCCATGTCAAATTTCACTTCAGCAGCTGATTTTTTTGTATCAACTTCCTTCTGCTTTCAACTATAACATTTTAAACACAAAAGTCACCAATACCCAAGAGGAATGGCTCTAAAATATGTATTTAGCCTATAAACAGCTCAAATAGATCTTAAAAGATTCTATGTTAAAATGAAAAAAGTATTCTTTGTTTAAAAAGTATACTCAGAAAAGGAATGTGCACATTAGAACAAGTCTTTTTTTTTCTTTTCTAATGAATTGGTCATTTACTCTTTAGCACCACCAGAACGATAAATGACTCAGTGACAACATAACAACAATCATCCTTTAAAACAAGTGACTGCTTAGTTTAGACCAAATGAAATCATTAGCAATTTAGGCTTTTTTAAAGACATTCACTGAAAGCAGGCATCCTAAGTGGACAGTGATTATAAAAAGAGTTTCAAAACTGAAATAGTGAACTTTTTTTACCTGATGTTCTGCATGAATGTTATCCCCAGTAGGCCATCGATGTTTGCTATTATTATAGCCGCCTCCACCACTTCCTCCTCCCCCAAGCTGCTCACCATGCTGCCTCTGAAAGAAGTAGTCCACCATAGCGTCGTCCTGGGAACGGCCTGCAACTCCTATGGATCCTGGGACAGGGCTGGAGTGTGTCCCAGCTGCAAGAGCCTGATTTGCAGCTGGTTGTGGCTGCGCTTGCGACCCTGTTCCAGATGTCAAAACAACAGGCATGTTGGGATTAGCTGGTTCTTGAGGGTGATGTTTCAGGTGGGGGCTGAAAGAGTCCTGCCAAAGCACTGCTTTTCTCTTCAAGACACATGCAACGCTCATTCCACCAACACCTAAGGACAAACAGGTGACAAATGTTTACAATTTGCATTTCTTAAACATAACTTGATATATGCACCAAGATAAAAATGGGAGCCCCCTGGCTTTTGCAATCTATCATCTAAAATAATTTCTACCAAGCAGCTAAATGTTCCATGACATATACACAGTTTTCTAAATTGAAACCTCTATTTTGAAGTTGCTGTGTGTGTGTGTGTGTGTATGGAAATAACTGTAGTAGGTGACAGGCACTGACAAGAAATTGAGATCAGGACTCAATATGGCAACTTCAGGGAACTTATGTTGGTGCCAAAGGTGAACAGTGTGGAATTAGACTTTAGTAACTCCTCTAACTTACTTACACCTTAAGCCAACTGTAGCAGATACTTTTAAAACGAATAAGAGTTTTACAAAGTATCCCTTTACAGCTGGAGCAGACATATACTAATAAACCAAACAAAAATCCAAGCCCCATATATAATTAGCAATGACTCAGTGTCGAAACTTGAAAGGATCCTTTAAAATGTCCGACGTATTCGAAGGATACTCTCTGAAAAAAATAAGGCCCCCTGACTAAGTAAGGACAGCAACAGAATGTTCTTAGCCTGAAACTTTTCAGCTGCTGTACATGGGAAAGATAAACTCTAAATTTTTACCAATAACTTACAATTATAACTATAATCACATCATCTTTCTACTAAAATTCTGACTCCTACAAAGTCAGAGACAAACTAAATTCACTCCCCCTGTGTAGAAAGTCTCACTGTAAAAAAAAAGAAAGAAAAAAAAAAGAAATGCTTCAAAACAATAATAACTGTACAGCAAATATACTGCAGACATTTCCTAGTCATTCCTGTTTTACAGATAAAAACACTAACGTATAGAGGAAAAGTTATGTGAAGTGCCCAAGGTCATTCAACTACTGAGCTGTAGAAAAGGGATTCAAATCCAAATCTGTACACATCCAAAACTAGTTCTTTCTATAAAGCCCTCGCTACTTTCTCTCACTTGCATCTGCTATTCTTCTCTAGAAGGATCAACCAAAAACCTCCAAAATGTTACTATAAAATACCACTTTCAAGTTTTTTTAAAATCAAAATTTACATTTGTACAAAACATACAAGTTGTCAGCCTATAGGTGCTTAAAAAAAAAAAAGTGCTTCAAAATAATTCAGTTAGCAACTAGAACACACCTGTCCACAGCCACTAGAAGCTAATTTCAAGGCTATCAACCTAACAGTCCATTACAAATGCCATATCTCCCTTTAGCCTTACTGTGACAATCCATAAACAGACTCACAAGATTTATAAGAAATCTTTTAAATTATTTCTCTTTATAGAATAAACATCCTGATAAAGAAGCATTTGCTTCTCACACCTAATTCATGTTTTAAAAGACACCGGAATTTTTAATATTTTTCAAAGCCGAATTTGGAAATGCATAGTTTCAGTTAACAATTCCAATCCATCAGAACCTTAACTGGAGTAATCCAGCTTTCTAAACTGCAGTTTCTGCTTTCATCAACAGTCATGTTCATGCTTAAACACGAAAATCAGAAGTCATAGTTTACCATCGGTACTAGCACAGTCCTAACCAGCCTAATGCCTTTCTCTTTGATTTTCAAAAGAACTCACTGCCCTCTCATTACCAACAGTAGCCAGTCCCATTCTATTCCACAAGGGACTATCAGTCTAACAGTCTGTGTTGTAGAGCTAACCAGGAGTCCCAAAACTAAAATTTTACCACTAAACTTCCCTGAGCCTGTTTCCTCATCTAGAAAATGGAAGAAATCCTTCCTTTATGACTCACAAATGCTTTTTAATCAAAATAATACATATAAAAGTTAGTAAATTTAAAGTCACATGCTGAGGCCCTGGGAATTCAGTCACCACCAGTTAAAGCAATAGAGCTCCAGTACCTAAGAGGATTCCTAAAATAGCAAATACAATCTTTTGTGAAATAAGATTTGCCATAATACTTATCTAATGAAGAACTTACATATGAAAAAGGTATTCAGCATTGAAATACACCGACCACAACTTCATTCTCTAAAGGCAATGGTATGGGGGTAGCGGGAGAGTTCCTATGAAAATGTTCAAACAAAACAATTGGCTTTTGTAAAGCTATCTGTACACCCTGAGACTTCCTGCTTTACCTAATGAGGCAAGGCAGTTTCTCAAACAAGAGAAAACCTGGCAGAAGGGACATTTTTTTGAAAGTTAGCAAATACCTAAGCAATTAACAAGTGTCTTGGGTAATTTTGAAGTATCTTGGAAACTATCAGCATAAAAATTAAGAAATCAGTCACTTAAATATTCAAAAACATTTAAATTGCTGATGCCTTTTAAAGAACTCTCAAACCCACTAAAAAGTTATGTGAAGCACTTGAAATGTGAAAATTTCAATTTGGGGAAAAATCATTTTTTCCCCAAATGATACATTAAAAAAGTATTTGTAAGCAACTAAAAAAAGTTCTGAATTCTAGTTACTCTTCCATAGTTTTCAAACTGTTTTCACCAAAGTTGTTATTTTTCTTTAGTCTTGTTTTTAATATCACTAACAGGTTTTATTTCAAACAAAGGAACATGATCTAATCTATCCACCACTCACCTTTTATTTACAAAATGCTTTGTGGTTTAAAAGGTGTTTATTTTTACCACACTGGGGGAAAAAAAATTCTGTGGTCATAAATTTATTTTAAAGCAGTTCATCTCAACCCAAACTAAACTTCAAACACAACTTCAAAAAGCCGTGCCCTTGAACAAAACGAATCCATCTGGGGCTAAGGCAAAAGGAAAAATTCAAAATCCAGTGTGTATTTCCCAAAAATCCAGATAAAGAATCAAGAGCCCCCAAGAGTGTTTTTTGTAAAGTTAAAACTAGCAATGGGTCAAAATGTTTATTTTGCTTACTAAAACTGCATTGGGAGCCACCTCTGTTTCGGTGAGTCTTGATGTGTTTTTCATAAAACAAACAAAACGCTAAAACTACAAACCTACGGTTTCAGAAGTAACAGATTTTAAAAAATAGAACCCCCAAAAAGCTTCATAAAACCCCATTCTTAATCTCTGGCAGAGTAGGAAGTGAACGAATTGTTACAGACAACTAAGAACAGTGTTTTCTCAATTCGAGAACGAAGAGTAACAATTTATCAAGTTATGGGAAGGATAAAACCTTTCCTGGTAATGTTGTGGGGGAGGGGGACATATAGTGTGGGCGGGGGGGGGTTACGCGAGCGTATTCCTCACTAGACGTGGGAGTGGTAGTGACAAGTATTAAGAAACGATTTAGGTTTACCAAGAACGTCCGTGAGGACTAAAACTATCTAGTATTGTGTATCTGTTTATCTACTACAGATGCACGAACCTCTCTTTGAGTTAAGACAGACACGCACCAATACAGACAGGCTCAAAGAGGAAGAACCCACCAAAAACAAGCTCTCACGGAAACAAAAGGCCACAAGTACTCAGGAACCTAAAAAGCGATCTGAAACTTCCTGATCGCCTACTTCTCCACATTTAAGGCTCGCAAAGTTCCCCCATGGTGGATCTCGCCTGCAGACAAGGGCCACGGCTGCTTCTAAAGCGATTTATTGTTCCTCCTGCTTCGGCGCAGCCACGGAAGCTCAAGAAGTCGGAGAAATCCAGGGTGGTACAGAATTACACTTCATGGCCACACACAAGACTCGGGCTTCGCAAACCCATCAAAAAAGCAACCCGAATGGCAACATCAATCTTCAGGGGCCCCAACGGGGCCAAGCAGAAATGTAGAGGCACATCTCTGCCCAGGGCCCGGGCCTAAACCCCCGGCATTTTCCTCGCTTCGACCCTGCTCCCCACCCCCTCCCTCCTTTGATAACAATAGGGGCCTTGCTGCTGACTCCAAAACATGTACGAGGAACAGCGAGTGAGAAGCCTCAGCCAGGGCCCCGGCGGCTTTTCCAAAGCCCTTCTCACCCCCGCAACTGCTCTCAAACACCAATACAAAGGGACAATCTGCTCGCTGGGGGTCCGGAGCAGCGTTTGGGGCTGGCGGGGTGCGGATACTCACGGGCGGAGCGGTAGGATGAAGATGGATTTCAGCCCCCCGATCTTCTCTCTCCGGCGCTCTCGCTCCCCCTTACCTTTCACTCCGACAACATGGCGGCCCACTGGGGACTGGGCTGGCGCGGTGCATCATGGGATAGGCTCGGGCCCCGGCTCCGGCGGTGGCAGCTGCATGTGCGGAGAAGGCAGGCTGCTCTGGAACAGGTTGCCTGGTTGCCATGCCAACCCGGGGCCTGTGTGAACTTGGGAAACTCGCTGGCAACACAACCGCTGCGCGCGCGAGTTCCCTACCGCAAGACAAGCGTGCGTCGCCGCGGCGGACAGAAGGCGGAGTCCCGCGGGCAGGCACTGGAGCGCCCAGGGTGCGCGGATCTTGGCCCAGCACCGCAAGGATCTGGGCGCGCGGGGTCAGAGAAGTGACCTCAGCCGCGGCGCCATCCACCCCGGCGCTCTCCCAACTTCGCCTCCAGGGCTAATGGACGCTTACTCCAAGACTCTGGCCCGAGAGGTGCTGGGTTCAAACTCCGTTGCCGCAGCTTTCAGCTCTGGCATTATTTAATCTTCCTGCCTACGTTGCCCCATTTGAAAAATTCAGAGGAAAATGAAAATTGCTACTTAACAGCATTGCCCTGAGGATTAGTGAATAATATGGTTTAGTAGTCCATTTAATAATGTGAAATGCTTAGTACAGTGCCTGAGACTGGTAAACAGGCCCGATAAAGAATTTGCGGGAGTTTGGGAAAGACCCTAATGCCAGGAAAGATTGAAAGCAAAAGGGGAAAAGAGCGGCAAAGGGCGAGATGGTTGGACAGCATCATCCACTTAATGGGCCTCAATTTGAGCAAACTCTGGGAGATAGTGGACAGAGTGCTAATGTGCTACAATCCATGGAGTCTCAAAGAGTCGGACTCAGCCACTGAACAGCAATAACAAGCGCAAGCGGAAAGTGCAGGACC